CTGCTGAGTGATAAGAGTGCTATGACAACTGGCAGCTCACTGGTGGTTGATGGGGGATTTCTTGTCTCCTAAGATGACACCTGCATTTCACACCTGGCCTTAATTTCCATCCTAGTAATGCACAGATGAAAAATGGATAGAAAAAAATTACACAATCCCAGTTTTTCTGGAGAAGAGGGGCATGAGGACTGGAACCTGAATGAGAAGTGAGGCAGAAAACCAGCTTTAGAAGGCTGCTAGATAATAAAGATCACATACGTTGTCATGGAGAATGTTTATTGCACCAAATAAGGTTTTATCTTGTCACTCTACATGATGATTAGAAATTGGACCTGTCTTTCTTCCAACCTTAATTCCACCCCACAACCTTTCAGAAGGTCTCCCTGTTCCATCCAAATCAATAGAGGCTGCCTGCACTTTCAGTGGGAAGGTAAAGAAGTTAGCAGACTCCTCATTGCTTTCTTTGCTGTCTTTAGTAGAAAAAAACAAAACAGAGGCAACAACCACAGCCCTGCTCTGCAGAGACTGGATCTGGGGGGGAGGCCCTGCTAAAGACTGATGGGGGGAGCAGCACCACACTGTCCTAGGGTGTGCATACACAGAAGGCAAACACATGGATTGCACAGAGCTGTTTCACTCACTGAGTTTGGCTAGTACCCCAAAAAGCACCTAATGATTAGTTCTTCAGCTTCATACCTTGTTTACTTTGACCCCTTCCAGGTCTGGGTATGATTTCTTTAACAGTCTCAGGCACATATCTGCTAGAGCACCAGTTTGTTAACTATTAGCCACAGGAGGCTGGACTAGGAGACCCTACCACTCTCCCAGCTGCTCTTGTCACTCAGCACCATTCACATCAGCTCCCTCCCCACTCTCACAAGGATCTTCACCACCTGTTTCACCTGCAGGTTGAAACCAGGTGTCTCCAGGACAGGATGAATGTCTCAGCCCTTTAAGCTTGGAGTTCAGGAGAGCAAAAACAGCCTGTTGCCCCAAGGAGCTAGCTTGCCTTCCCCACTGTAGCTCCTCTGGGGGTTGCACAGCCCCCAGCTAGTCTCCTGCCCCCACTGCCCCTTCACATCAACACTGACGTTAAATCAAAGAGACATTTAAAAAACACTGACTTGGTACATGATGAAGGGCTCTAGACATCCCAGCCCCCTCCAGAAACACCCAGCTAGTATGCACACTGTCAGAGGACAACATGCTGAGCTAGCACTGAGGCCACAGCCCTCAGAACACGGTGCACTTTTTGCCAGGCTTCTTGACGGGCGGCGGGCAGAGCACGGCCCGGATGGCTTCATCAAACACCGTCTTCAAGCCCCGCTGCGTCAGGGCAGAGCACTCGAGGTACTTTACCGACCCTAGGGGAAAGAGAGCTCCAGCTCAACCACACCAGTCCTACCAGGACACACCATGCCTCACCCACTCTGGAATGAAAAGCTCAACGCCGTGGAGATCTTCCAGCACACAAAACTCACCAATCTCCCGCGCCATGGCCAAGCCTTGGGGGTAGGTGATGGGCGCCAGTTTCTTATCACGTAACCTTTCAATGGTGTCCTTATCATCCCTCAGGTCCAGCTTGGTGCCCACCAGAATGATGGGTGTATTTGGGCAATGATGTCGGACCTCAGGGTACCACTGAAACAGAGAGGCATGGTAAGACAAGTAGCTATGGCAGTAGATTCAACCATAAGGATGCATTTACTATTAGGAACAAAGTTTTTACTGCTTTCTGACATGGTGACAACACCTGAACAAGGAACTTCTGCTTACAGTTCTGAATATGCTCTGTAGAAAGAGACTGGTGCAAATGTAATAATGAAGGTGTTAAGAAATGGAATGATGACAGTGCCAGCCAGCTCTGCACACAGTGCTTCCCTTAACTGCACTTGAGCTTCTAGGACATCCCTTATCTTCTTTTAGATGCCGATTCAAAAAGGCAAAAACTTAGCCAAAAATCATAAATGAAAAGCAGGCCACTCTTAAAACCTGCAGACCATGACATCTAAACAACTGCTAGAAAACTTGGGCTGATAAGTGTGGTGCTGGGTGGGGCAGGGGGACTTCACTGGTTCCTCCCTCCCACTGTTTCACCCAGAAGGAGAATACTTTACCTTGGCTCTGACATTCTCAAAGGAGGCTGGACTCACAAGGGAGAAGCAGATCAAGAAAACATCCTGTGTGGAAACAAGAGGGTCAGCCGTGTGGGAAGAAAAGCTAGAGATAATTCAGGGAGGGTGGAGAGGGAGTCTTACAGAGGACAACCTCCTCCCACAAGCAAGGACTGTGACTGTAAGAAATTCTTCCCCATTAAGGGTGCTAAACTAATTCAGAGAGGGAAAGAACAGACTTTGAGTGTTTGACTTCATGTTCTTTTGCAATGCTGGGCTCTGCATGTTAAGAGCCTGTGGCCACAAATACCTTAACAGTGCTCTGGGCTCCACCCCTGGTGGGGGGGCCACATAAGAGTCGCTACAGCCAGGGAAACACTACTAGTGCAGCCGAACGGGGAGATGTGACACGAAATGTGGGAATATGGAAGGTGGCTCAGCTGCACAGCAGCCCCACTTCATTCCTTTCACCTGAGCCTCCCTATGGCACACACAACTGTTCAAACACCATTGTGAAGCAGGAACTGGAACAGGACAAGCTCAGGAGAAATTCAGCTGTCATACTTCTCTAACAACAAGAATTATGGCTGCAGCTGCAGGAACTTAAGACTTTCCTCAAAGCAAAGAAGCCTGGCTGTTTTTGGGAGCCTCCCTGTCTCCAAGAGGAGCAGTTACAAGCCAGTATAAGCCCAGCACTCACCGTCTGTGGATAGGAAAGAGGACGCAGTCGGTCATAATCCTCTTGCCCTGCTGTATCCCAGAGACCTAGGTTCACTGGCTTTCCATCTACCATAACATTGGCAGAATAGTTATCAAACCTGCCAAGGAAGAGTCCCCATCAGTGACAACCTTGTTACAATCCACACATCCCTCTCTTCATCCAAAGTCCAAGGGGCAGTGAATTGGCAGAGGACACAGTTCCCATGAGGACAGCCTGCCTGGCCATGCCACCAGAGTGAGGGCCACTGTCAGGTTTGGGACAGCTCCTCCTCGCCGACAAAGCCAACTTCTACACACGTGAGCATGCAGAGGAAAAAGAAACTGAAGCCCAAGGCTGTTACTCACACAGTGGGGATGTATTCTCCAGGAAAGGCATTTGTGGTGTAACTGATCAGCAAGCAGGTCTTCCCTACAGCTCTGCAGAGGGTGAGAGTGAGAAGCATTAAGAAGGGTACAGTGGGAAGCACTGTTCCCCAACTCAGAAAAGAGGTTGAGTAAAAAATTGCCATGTGAGAAAAACCTATAGTGGTCTGCAGCTCTCCAGCTGTCAGGGACCAGGCCTGAACTCACACTGTGCATCCTGCCTGAACTCACACTGTGCATCCTGCCTGAGCCTGCTCCCTCCCTCTCCTTTTCCCCACCCTTTCAGCCTCAGCACAACCCCAGAAAAAATACATTTGTTCCAGGAACTGAAGGACAGGCAATAAATAAGTGTTCTGTGCTGGGTTCAACAAATCTGCAATAACCTAGCAAAACAGGTTAACAGTGAGATAAAAAAACACACAACACAGAATTATTTGAACTGCTTGGGTGTAGGAATTCAACATCAATAAATACAAATGGGAAAAATAAGTATCCATAAACATAAACAAACTTTAAAATTGCCCACTATCAGTTTGGAAAGCAAACACTGTAGATCACGGAAAAAATCAGCCCAGGGTTTGGAGGAAGACAGACTGGTCAACCCCAAAGTGTCAGCTGGCCAGGCTGGGTCTGGCTGGCAATAGTGTAAGCCTAAGAACTTTAGTTAGCCCTGCAGCATAAGGGAAAAGCTTAATTATAAGAGCAGGAGAGTACCAGGAGTGCAAACAACCTATTTATCGCTGTGAAAGTTGTGAACCACAGACAACCTTCCAGAGAAACAGATCCTGAGTGCCAGTGTCAGGGAAAGCTGGTTGTTGCCCGAGTGAAGCTGAGTTGCCAGAGATGACCACCCTCTACCCAATTCTAAAACTGGACATAAGGAATGACTTCAGAAGTAATAGAGACCGACCCCAGGGGACACCCTAGTCCTGCACCAGGATAACACAAAGCACAGCGACAACCACTACAGCAATCCACCCAGCCTTCCCCTGGATCAAGCCCCATCTCTTGGAGAACGGGAAGGTTGTATAAGGAACCACTACATTGACCAGCCTGACTCCCCCTGAACCATGACCTCTCTCCAACCACAGGGAAGTCACACAATTCTCAAAATCCACACATATGTCTGAGTAAAGGGTTTTGGTATCCAAGTTAATGTAGTCTCTTCAACATCAATTTGGTTTCAATGCAAAGCACTGAACTGCAAACCTTCAGCTGGTGTCCCCTCCCAACATGCTCCCATGTGCTCCCAGTTGCTCTCCCCTCCAAAAGGCTGTGCTGGTCTGGGATGGGGCTTTTTCTCCTGCTCCCTTCTTTGCCCCTCACAGGCTGCAGAACCTGTAAGGCCTCACTCTAAGTGAGGGGGAAGCTGGAAAGACTAGTCTTTGCCTAAGACCAGCTCACATTTAGGTCTCTGTATCTCAGCTCTGTGCTTGCTGTGGTGATCAGAAAAGCAAACAGGAGTTATGAGGAAAAAAATTGCAGGAAGAGTTAGAAAAAGTTACAAAGCACCATAGATCTACTGCATGGCTCCATCTGGAATACAGATGTGTTCTCAGAAAAAGGCATATAGGAAAAGCCTAAAGAAAAGAGGAAGGAAGGTGACCAGAAGCACTCGGTGAAATCAGAAACAACAATATATTTCACTGTGGAACACAACAAAAGGAGGTATGAGAGAAAACTATTAACATTTTTTTTGATTTTTAGGAAGGCCTTTATGATGAATCATGCTTGTATGATGGAAAATAGTGAAATACAGGCGGCTAATGAAACAATGAGTAGGTAGCCATGGAACCCAGGACAAGAAGGTGTTTTCCAGGCAGCACACCACTAGGCGTGGAACCGAACCGTGTCAAAAGACCAAGACCCAAGTTTAGGCATGAAAAGGGAGCAGGAGATGCGGGGCAGGGCTGTAGCGGCCGCGCCGCAGCGAGGCCCCGCACCCCGCCGGCGGGAGGCGCGGGCAGGGCCCGGAGCGGGGCCAGCGG